GGCTCCTTCCCAAGTGGGTGACAGCCCCTCTGCCTTGCCCTTCACCCTCTTCCTTCCCCGAGGTGATGCCCGTCGTGCTGTCCCGGTGCCCACTGCGTGCTGGCAGCCCGGGGAACACCCTCAACGGGGACACCCTCAACCGGGACACCCTCCACCGACCTGCGGCTGTGGGAGCAGCAGCCCAGGGAAGGCGGGCGGCAGGCGGGGAGCCCCTCGGGGGTCTCTGCCGGGTTGCCCCGAGCCGTGAAGCCGGACCGCGGCCTGGCTTTGTGGTGCGCAGCGGCCGTAAGCGGACCCTCCCCCTCCGTCACTCCTCCCACGGCGCCAGGGGAAGGAAGCCCGGAGCCGGCTGGCTCCCGGCCGTCTGGTCTGCTTTTCCGGGAGCGGCTGTCGCTACAGCCTCGACAGCGGGGTAAGGAGCCGTCCCGGGCAGCGTGCGGGAAAACAGACACGTAGCCGATCCCCATGGCGTGCGTGCTGAGTGAACAAACGCTGCCCTGAACTTTTACCTCTGGGATTATATGGATCAGCCCAACCCTCTTTATCCTGGTAGCCGGGGGCACGCGCGGCTCTGTCTGCTCCAGAGGCACCCGGCAGCGCATCGCCCACTCCCCCTGTGCCCCTGGGCTGGGCGTGTCGGCACAGTGTCCCTATAGCCGCGGCTCACTCGTGGGCTGCCCGAGTCCTGGGGCCAGCGGGACCCTGGTGCGAGGAGCACCACACTGTCAGGGTGTCACTGGTGCCAGGGTGGTGAGACCAGTTAGGGAAAGGCTCTCCCCGGCAGCAGGAGGCACAGACCATGTGGATCCAGAGCTTGCTGCTGGCTCCCGGCACACTCACCCAGACAGCCCTTGGGAACTGCAGCGGAAATTTGCTCTCCCATGTCCAGGGAACTTCGCCCCAGAGCTGAGCAAGGCACAGGGCTGCAGAGGGGTCAAGATCTGCAGCTGAAATGGCTTTAATCTTCTAAGTCTCACAGTATGTCTGCAGTAAGTTTAATAAAGCTCTTTCTGTACCTTGCTGTTGGCAAGGGCTGATCTCTGCCCGGGGCAGCACAGAGTGCTGCCAACCCGCACTCTGTGCCTGCCTGTCAAAAAACATCAAAAGCATCTTACCAGGCAGGGGGATCAGCACGGGTACAGCAGTGTGGCAGCACTGGCAGTACTACTCTCCCTGCTCTGCTCTCAGCTGGCTTCTGGTTCTTCTGCAAGCTCTGCACAGATTGCCCAAGGGTGAAAAGTACAGGAGATCTCTGAACTCTCAACCTCACTGCTGTCCTATCAAACCTTTGTGCAGGTTGCCTCCCAACTTGCTCTTCTCCCTACAGGAGGTTGTGCTGCTCTAGACTTTGCCATGCTGTGCTTGGGCTCATGCCATGGCATTTTGGTCAAGACCAGCTGGTTGATGTCCACGGGAAAGTTACAGTTCCCCATGCCTGGCAAGCACCCAGGATATACTGTGTGGGGGGCAGTGTCTGCTCTGGGCTTCCACAGAAGGCAGGGGTGCCATGGGACAAGCAGAGCAGAAAAGCACCAGTCTCCTCCTTCTTATCAGTGGTTAGTACTCATCTTTGGAGGAGCAATGACAGGTGACAAGCACAGGAGGAAACCAAAGTCTCTTTGGTGGAGGTGGGGAGATGTAGAGAAGAGGTGAGAGGGTGGCTGGGCGGCCTGTGACCCAGAAGGGCTGTGCACTGGTGGGTGCCACCAGGCAGCTCATGGAGGGTCCTGCAAGTGAATCAAGGGCAACTTTTGGCACACACATGGGCTGTGGGAACAAGCCACAGATGTGTGGATTTGCTGTTGTACTCCTCCATGACCTGGAGAGGAAGACCCCAACGACTGTAAGAATTGCTTGGATGAAATGCACCCTGTGTTTGGGAAAGAGCAAAGGCACATCTCAACAAGCTCTGATCACCTCAAACTCTACCCACACTACAGTGTGCCACCTGTCTGTGCCCTGCAGGCACTACAGGGCTCGTCTCTGCCTTGGGGCAGGAGGGCTGGCTGGGGTGTCCAGGTGCTGCTGTGCACATGCTGAACTGGCCCAGCCAGTTCCCCAGGCATGCAGTGCCACCAAGGGGATTATTTTTTTGGTCACTGGAGCACAAACCCACATCTGGTAGTTTCACTGGCTCACCCTGGCAGTGGGTCAGGGCTCAGCTCTGGGGGAACTCTGTCAAGCATTTTCATTTTGGCCCCTGAAAAACTGACAGTGGGTGACAGACAGTAACAGGGTGCTTGTGTCGATGGCCCTCAGGCTGCTCCTGTACACTTCACCCAGGGGAACAGCACACTTAAACACTGCCTGGTCTTAATATGACTTAATTGGTGCTTTCCAGAGCCTGAGTGCATCAAGAGACCTCAATGACCACAAGGAGCCTCAGCTGGACCCAATCACCCCACCCATATGCCAGGAGCACTGTTTAAGCTCATTATTTAAGCTTAGTCTAGAGCCTTCACTCTCTGCCTGGCTCTGGTTCCTCTGCTTTTCTGGCTCAATCTCAACCCCAGCTCATTACAGAGGCTCCTTGTGGTCCCATCCTGCCAAGGACAAGCAGCCCTCTGTGAAAACCAGACCAACAGTGCCAGGGCGGGTGGTGGTTGTCAGAGCCTCTTGCTTACCTGCAGGAGGTGCAGGTAAGGCTCAGACCTTGGGCTGCCTTGCAGCCTGGGAGACAGTATATTGTTGGGGTCTGAGGAAGGGGCTGGTTCTCCAGAAGGCTGTCTGCAGCCTGGGAACATGTTGACCACCAGGAATTGCTGAGAATGCAGTGTACCCCCTGGGAAGCTGAAAATCCTATGGAGGGGAAGAGAAGCAGGGAAGCTCTGCACAAGGGCTTCAGGAGTAGGCTGCTGTTGGGAGCTGCTTCCCCTGTTACCCACTGGATGGACCAACCCTTCAGTCCCACTATCCTTTCCCCATGGCACTGGGAGCTAGGTGCCTGTCCTCATTGCTCAATATCTGACCTCAGTGCAGTACTTAAATTGAGAGCAGAAGGGAAGAGATTGTTTAGAAAGGCAGAGCTACTTATAACCCTGAGGAGAGACCCCCACGAGCCCCTCCAGACAGGTGTTATAGAGCAGGCTGCACAGGATATGCTTATGACAGCAGCATGATCAGTGTATTTATAGAATACAGATACATGGGTGATTGTAGACAAACCTCTGCAAAGTCACAGCTACCACATACACCATGGGCTATTGCAAGTGACCAGCAAGAGCATGCAGATTCACAGTATCATCAGCAAGCTGCCGGATGAAATGTGCTGAGCCCTCCCCAGGCTCTGCAGAGACTGTTTTTTTTTTTTGTCACAGAACAGTCAGTGCAGCTGTTTGGGCAGTGCAGACCCTGCCTGACACCTGACCAGGAGGGCAAGACAGCACCAAACATCCAAGTGCAGACCAGGAGCCTGCAGCACCGCTCGTGTACAAGTCTTGGCCAGACTGATGGGGTTTAGGATGCGAGTTCAAGTCCCAGTATCCCCTCCCTTGTGCGTGCTTAGGAAACCAGTGCACGCCCCTCCTTTGTGAGGAGCCCGTCCGTCAGTGGTCCCAGAGCGCGAAGAGGGCGGGCGCGTTGAGCGGGGACAGCCAGCAGTGCTCCACCACGCTGTACAGGGCATAGCCCAGCACCAGCCCGAACAGCACGTCTGTCATGTTGTGCCTGCCCAGCATCACCCTGGAGATGCTGACGATGAGGGCCCAGAGCACCACGAGGACACGGAGCGGGACAGCGAGCACCAGGTGCCGCAGGACGAAGCGGCAGACCAGGGCGGCGCGGGTGGCGTGGCCCGAGGGGAAGGAGTACTTGTCCACCGAGATGGTGACGAACATGTCCATCTTGTTGTGGGTGGGCCGTGGCCGCTTCACCAGCCCCTTCACCACGGCCACCATCACCAGGTCCAGCAGCAACGCTAGGAGAGACAGGAGCAGTGGGTTACTGAAAGCACAGCTGTTAACTATGAAAGCACTTGGCTGCCCAGACCTGCTAAGAGAAGGCATTGCTCCCCATGGCTGCAATACCCAGGCAGGGAGAGCACAGCACTCGTCTGCACTTGGCCTTCTGCAGCGTGACCACGTCCTCAACCTCTGCTCCTGCTGCACAAAGTCCTTGTGTACCACCAGACCATCTGCCTGCCACAGCCCAACAGGGCTCTGCCAGGGCTTTCGTGTAAAATCTGATCTCACTGTGACTCTGGGCTCAACCTGCCCCATAACCTGAAGGCAGCAGAGGGACAACTCCCTTCCTGGCAGTGCCGACTCAGCATTGTTCTCCCTGCCCGGGTGACCGGAGTTCAAACCTACGGGGTGAATGATCAACCCGCTCCAAGCACTCAGCCACAGCTCTGCGTGAGGGGCTCTGAGCTGGTGTGGTGCCAAAGGTCCTGGAGTGTGGCTTCTCCCTGCTGCTGGAGGGAAAGCTAACTGTGCTTTGGTTTTCAAGAGATGACTAAAGGATGATTTATGTAACAGTGGCTTGCCCCTGAGAGATAAAGGCTGTTGTAGTAGAAGGTGCAAAGAATCTGTGAGAAGTGTTCAGCCAGTATTTGGCAAGAGCAGCTTCTCGTGCAGGTCAGAGGGTGCTTTCTCTACCCCTGTGAGTTCTGCTTAGCTCTCACAGCCAGGGCTGCTACTTCCAGGGAAGTCGTGTAAGAGACCAGCTTCTGCTTGTCCTAAGGCTTGTTTCTGGACACCAAACCTTTTGGTCACTTCAGTTCATTTCCTTTGGTTAATCATTTCAGAATAAATATTTTTTTTTCTACATGTAAACCTAGATCAATGACTTTTTTTACATAGGATTTGTGAGGTTCAGCTTGGACACGAGGGAACCCTCCTTCCCCACACAGGTGCTGCAGCCCTGGCTACAGGGCCCCAGAGAGGTGGGTGGCTCTGGCCTAGAGTATTGAGGGCTGGAGAAGGCTCTGGTACGGGGTCAGATCTCCTTGGAGAAGTTAGGCTGGAGGCCTCCCGGTCCTTTCTCACAGCTCTGCTGTGGGACTGTAATTTAACCATGTGCTGCTAGATGAGAAAGATGCACAAACCTATATAGTTCCCACCAAGCAAATTTCAATTCAGATTCTAAGTGTGAGATACTTGCAACTTAATACAAGAGTAAGAACCTGAAAAGGTCTGGTGCTCTGGAGCTACTACAGTTTCTAAATGAGCAGAAATGAAGACTCTATACCTAGGATAGTCTGTGTGTGTGAGTGTGAAATATTATGCAATGCAAGATTAAAACGTGTGCATTAAACCAAATTTCCTCACTGGCTGATACACATCAATCCACAAAGGCACTGCCCAGGCAGGGAGCCAGGGGTGCAGATGTCTGTATGCCAGAGTAGCTTTTCAGGGAATGGGCTGGTGTCTCAACACTAGAAAGCTGCACCTAGAATGCAATGTTCAGATAAGCTTGAAGAGCTAAAATATTTCATTCATCACCCTGAGAGCTTTGTGCTGACAGGTGAGCCCTACCCATGTCACCACATGTCCAGGGCTGCTGCCTCTGGTGCCAGGCACCCCACATGGGTCTGCACGGGCCGCTCAAAATCAGGTGCCTTTGGGGCTGTGCTTCACCAGCTCTGCGCCGTTTGTTGTGTCCCACCCTCCCCGCTCGGCTCCATCAGCCCCCGGGAGAGCCCCGCGCCTCACCGAAGAGCAGGTTGAGCAGCACCTCCCTGGCCGCCGAGCTGTCACTCTGGCAGAGCCCGTAGAAGGTGCCGAGCAGCCAGGGGATGCCGTGCCCCGACACCTCGATGACCTTCATGAGCGGGCGGGCGCTGCCCCAGGCCGAGCCCTCCCCGGCGCACACGCCCAGGCGCTTGGAGGCCCAGAGGTCGATGGCGAGCAGGGAGCTGAGCGCGATGCCCACGAAGGACGGGTTCAGCTTCATGCAGTCCTCCTCCGGCAGGGGCGCGGCCGCCGGCAGCTCCCTGCGGCGGGACGGGCTGTCGGGGGCGGCGGGGCCGCGCTGGCTCAGCGACAGGAACTCCAGCCGGCCGCCGCTGCCGCCCGCGCGGCGCTCGCGGCTGCTCCGGGGGCTCGGCATCGCGGCGGGAGGTGGCCTGCGGGAGGCGGGCGCCGGCCACCGGCGGCCGGGCCCGCATGTCCCCCCTGCCCGGGGCCGCTTCCCTGTCCCCTGCCGCCGCTCCCGGAGCGCCCCAAGGACGCGGCGGTGCCGCCCTCCCTCCCCCGCCCCGGTACCGGGCAGCCCCGCCGCCGCTTCCGCTTCCTGTTCCGCCCGTGACGCACGTGGAGCTCCCGGCGTACGGCGGCCGGCGGGGGCCGTAAGAGGCGCGGCGGCGGCGCCTTCGCCCTGCCGGCGCCGGTGCGGGCGCCTCGCTGCGGGCAGCGATGCGCGGCGGGCGGGCACCGGCCCCGGCCGCCCCCCCGGCCCCGCGGTGACGGCGGCCCTGCGGCGGCCATGGGGTGCCTGCAGAGTGTGGCCTGCAAGGCGCGGGTGCGCCGGGAGCAAATCGTGGTGTCGGACGTGTCGGCCACCATCGAGCCCGCGGCCACGGCCATCGAGGAGAGCTCGCCGGTGGTGCTGCGGTACCGCACGCCCTACTTCCGCGCCTCCGCACGCGTGCTCATGCCGCCCATCGCCCGGCGCCACACCTGGGTGGTGGGCTGGATCCAGGCCTGCAACCACATGGAGTTCTACAACACCTACAGCGACCTCGGCGTGTGAGCACGGGGGGCGCGGGGGGGACGGGCACAGCAGCGGAGTGGGGGCACCGGGCTGGGCATGGCGTGGGCACCCCGGCACACAGGGCACCCCGGCACGCCTGCGGGCACCGTGTGCTGCCCCCTCGGCACCGTGTGTTGCCCCCCTGGGATCACGTGCTGCCACCCAGGTACCGGCTGCTGCCACCCCAGAATCCGTGTGTTGCCCCCGTGGCACCATGTGCTGCCCCCCAGGCACTGGGAGCTGCCCCCCTACCCTGCCTCTGCATCCACAGCCACACACGGGCGCCACCTTCACGCCGGCGCCCGCTCCGAGCACAGTCCCTGACCCCGCAATTCCTGCTCCTCGTGTGCCTCAGCGTCTCCTGCACCATCCCAGTAGCCTGGGGCTTGCCCGCTCGGGGGCTTTGTGGCCGCTGTCTCCCCCGAATACCGTTTCCCCTCTGGGGCCGGGTTGTGAGTGCGGGCAGTGCTGGGGGAGTTGCCCCCTTGGCTTGTGTTAGAAGCGGGAAGCTTTGCAGTGCTTGGCCGAAGTGGCTGCTGGAAAACAGCTTTTCTCAAGGCTGAGTGTGTGGTGACCTGAGGGGACACCAAGGGGCAAAGCTGTTGGCTCTGTCACTGTGTCCTCTGCCTTTGGAGAGGGGTGATGAAAGAGGGGCTGGAGATGACTGGAGGGGTACATTTGGCTCGATGGGGCGTTCCCACTGCTGGTGCCAGGGGTTGCCAGCACAGGGCAGTGTGTGCAGCAGGTCCTCGTGCTGCCTGCCTGCATCCTTGCATCATTAGCAGATCCACGTGCCTGTGGCACTGGAGCGCTTGGGGACATCCAGCAAGTGGAGGCCATCATCTGGGGGATGGCAGAGGTGTGGCCCCAGTGCCAGGCAACTTTAAAAACTAGATGTGTTTGAAGCCAGAGCTCGGACTTGGTAGGAGGTTTCACCAGAACTCCGGGCCTGTAATTACCCTGTGGGATTGTCTCCCTTGCTGTAGCCACAGGTGTTAGTAATGAGATTGTCAGCAAAGATTTGGTCTGGAATTCCCCCCCCCAGCCATATTGCAGGGATTTCATGGCACCAGTGGCTGGCATAATTGTGGAATTTAATTGTTGTCTGTGTCTCTGTGCAGGTGCCTCTATTTACAGGCATAAAAATTACAGACTTATCGTGGGGCTGGGGTGGCAGCTGATGGGCTGGGCCAGTGCAGTGGTCATGGTGCTGCAGCTGGTGAATGAGGAAGGCTGTTCTCCAGCACAGGAGCTGATTAAGGAGAGAGTGACCCCAGAGAAACTTGGCAATGCGTTTTGGCCCAGTCAGTTTTATTGCAGGTTAATTAAAATTACATTGTGTTGGCAGAGCAAAGGCTTCAGCTGGACGTGTGAGTCTCAGCAAAGGAACCAACGTTGAATTTGTTCTTCAGGTTGGTCCTGAGAGCTTGCTGCAGGCAGGGAAGAGGGTCCCCATGCTGCTGGCCTTCCCATCCCTCACCAAGTGCCCTTGGTGCCATTTCCCTGCTAACCTGGCCTTTCTCTTCCCATTCACTTAGGTCAAGCTGGGAGCTGCCCGACCTGCGAGAAGGAAGAGTAAAAGCCATCAGTGATTCGGATGGTGTGAGCTACCCCTGGTATGGAAACACCACAGAAACTGTGACCCTGGTCGGGCCCACGAACAAGATCTCCAGGTTCTCGGTGAGCATGAATGACAATTTCTACCCCAGTGTGACGTGGGCTGTCCCCGTGAGCAACAGTAACGTGCCGCTGCTGACCAGGATTAAGAGGGACCAGAGCTTTACCACGTGGCTGGTGGCCATGAACACCACCACCAAGGAAAAGATCATCTTGCAGACTATAAAGTGGAGGATGCGAGTGGACATTGAGGTTGATCCCATGCAGCTGCTGGGGCAGCGGGCACGGCTGGTGGGAAGGACTCAGCAGGAGCAGCCCCGGATCCTCAGCAGAATGGAGCCCATCCCACCAAACGCACTAGTGAAGCCCAACGCCAACGATGCCCAAGTCCTCATGTGGAGACCCAAGCGAGGGCAGCCTATAGTCGTGATACCTCCCAAGTAGAGCAGTGCCAGGCACGCACGTGAGGACCTGGGTGCTCTCAGCCTGCTGCAAACGAACAGGGTTTCTGAGCCAAAGCAGACCTCTTGGGTTCTCCTGCCTTTGTCGTTGTGGTTGGAAACATGGCTCCTCCTGAGTCAGAAATAGAGCCTGGCTGGCACAAGGGTGCAGAAGAGGGTGTGCCCAGCTGGAGGATTTCCCAGGAAGTGGAATTGAGTGCTTGCAGGGGCTTGTGGCTGGCACAGAGGCTGTCTGACCTAAACGACTCGTCTTTCCTTGTAGGGCAGTGCAAGAAGCCATGGGTGTGATTGAACCGTGCTCATGGTGAATGCTGCTTTCCACCCAGCTGGAGATAGAAGTGAAGACCATGCCTGCTGGATGCGAAGGGCTCCTGCAGTGCCCCTTCCTGCTGGGGCACCGGTCCCTGTGGTGTCCGTACCTATGCATTTCAGATTGGTAATTAACCCCTTGCCCTGCCTGCTGATGCTGGGCAGGAGGGCCCGGGAATGGGGTGGGAACAGACAGTGCCAGGGTGCTGAGCCAGAGCCCGGCACTGGCTGGTGCCCCCAGCTGGGAGGGGTTTTCTGCAGCCGAGGGGAAGCGGGTCATGTTTTGCATGCATCTGGGTGTGTTTGGAGTAGTTGTGAGTGTAGGAGATGCCATAGCTCTTTTCCGTCTTGGAGTGAGATCTAAGGGCAGGTTAGATGTCCTTTTGTTTTAAGGTGCACTAAGTCTTTGCAGTTCCTCAACCTCCCCTCCCCAGTCCCACCGACCTGTCTCTCACAGAAGCAAAACCAGTTCTCAGCAGAGTGAGAAATGGGGAGTGGTGCCTGTTCACCCGGCCCAGGTGCTCACTGACTGTGTGTGTGTGGGGTACCCAAACCAGTTTGGAGGTACCCTGGGACCCACTTGCTTCATTGCAGACCCAAGTCCCTTGCTAGAAGTTGGGTGCTTGCTCATTTTCCACACAAATGCTGGCTCACATGGAGACCCTCCTCTTCCTCAGCCACCCGTGGGGCAGGCTGGCTACTGGCAGGGACACCAGTGGAGGGGATGGCACGCCTTGTGGTAACTCCCCAGGCTCTCCTTTCCATGGGTGGAGGCTGTGCAGGGCAGGCCTAGTTTTGCCTGGGAAGGAGGAGGTGAATGTGCTGCCTGAGAGCTGCCTCCCGGTGCTACAGGTGCTTTGGGGCAACAAGGGATGTTTATTTGCCTTTCTCCTCACCCCTCATTGCCTGGATGGCTGGCATTGGCTGGTCCATGGGGCAGCACGGTGCTGTGGGATGCAACTGGCCATTCCCAGGATCTCAGCCTGGAGTTGCAGCAGAGGCATAAGCCACGGCTGTGCTGCTGCTGCTGCTCCTGGTGTCCCATATCTCCTGGGCAGGCAGTTACAGCTTTTGCTGCTTTCTCTGTTCTCTCTGTCCTGGCGTGAGCCCTGCGGCTCCTCCAGCTACACCCCTACCTTCACGTTATGGGGGGTTTGTGCTGCCCTGGGGATGCAGGTCATTCCTGTTGGGAGGGTCCTGTCTGCTGTCCCGCTGCCAGGAGAGCCTGGGGAGGATTGCTGTGTGACACTTCCATGCGAAGCCTTTCCTGAGGTGTTGGCAGTGCTGCCCCCAGCCTGGTACTGGGATGCCCAGCCCAGTACTGCTCATCTCCCTGTGGTGTGCCTGCACATCCCCATGGCATAATTCCCGCAAAGCTTCAGCTGCATCTCCTGCCTTTCCAGGACGGGATGTGCATCCCCAGGCCCCGCCAGCAAAGGGGCTCCCCAGGCATCTTAGACCAAAAATCCCTGTGAAATCCCCGCGCTATTTATTATCCTCAGTAGTATTTGCTGCTGGTTCAATTCTTTATTTATTGTTTCCTTTGGGAGTGCTGCATTCTGATGCCTTGGTGCACACTTCCCTGTGCCGGGCCTGCAGTCCTGCTGCTCCCGCCCGGCCTTGCGGCGGATTGGGAACCTGCTGCTTTCGGTGCCTATGTTGGGGTTTTGTGGGGGGCTACAAGCCTTGCTGTGGGAAAGCTTTGGAGGGAGAGGGGGCTCTGAACTTTGGCTTGCTGTGTTTTCTGGCACAGAACTTCCACAGGAAGCTTGCTGGCATGGGAAGATGTCCTGCTCCTGTGAGACTCTGCCTGTGGTTTTGTCCTGGTGTGGGACTGATGGCAGCTTTTGCCGTCACTGATGTTTTGTTTCTCAAAAAGTGTGTGTGTGGAGAGGGGTTAGAAACTTGAAATACAATTTTCCTTAAGGATTTGAAGAGGAGGGGTAAGTACCTTTTGGTTTGAAGTAAGGCAGGTGTATGCTTTTGACCAGGGGGACAGAAAAGCCCCTGGCAGCATCAGAGCTAAAAAGCCAGAGGAAGGAGTTCCCCAATAAATGGGTAACCCCAAGATGGGCTTCCCGCTGGGAGAGGATGCTGCATTCAGAGAGGCTGTGCGAGCCAGCTCCCCAGAACTCACGGGGAAGGGCCAGGGCTGCATGCTAGCTGTCAGCTCGTGGAGCTGCTGTGGCATTGCCATGGTTCCAGTTGTCTGGGAGAGTGGGGATGCAGATGCAGAGATGCTGTGGAATTCATTTCCATCTTTTGGGATGTACTAGCTGGCCCGAGCCGTGGCACATTGTCTGCTATGACACTGAGACAGCAGTGGCTGAATTTCTGCTCTATGAATGTCTACAACGTCCCCAGGGAGGTGCTTGGTGCCAGTGTCAGACTCGGTGCCTCGCTGTAGCCGTGTGCCTGAGCTCCCAGGGCTGCCCCAGCCTGCAGGCAGGTGCTGGCTGAGCCCCGGGGCCATGCCTGTGTTCACCTCTCCAGGCTTTTGCCAGGTTTCTGTGCCCGCTCCTTCTCTGATGGCTGGATTTGATGCACTTAACTCAGTTTGATGCGTGGGTTGTCTTCGTGGGCATTTCTTCATTAAAAAAAGAAGGGGGAAAAAAAGTTTGCAAAAATTGTTTGCAAAAAAATTTGGCAAACAACGTTTGCAGAAATGTGCAGGCATTTTGCATGTTGGCAAAAGGTGTGTGCTCACACTTGGGAGGAGGTGCTGGGTGAGCACTGAGCAGTGGAGCCTGGGTGTGGGGCTCAGACGAAAGGGAGGGAGGTGGTGGGTGAGGGCTCCCATGTGTGAGTCTGGGTTTGGCTCACATCCCTGTGGCTGGATGAGCACCCGGACCCCTGGGCTTGTGTTTGACCACCCCATGGGATGCCTCCCCTGTGCCCCCCTCTGGCACCAGCACCCCATTATCTCAGGGAGGGGCAGGTCATGGAAATGCCCACCCTCACACTCCCCTTGCCCTGAGCCTCGGGGTGCCCCTTCCCCTCCTTCGTGTCCTCGGGTCATTTATTTATTTATTTAATTATTTGGCTATTTATTTATTTAAGTTATTTATTGGTATTTATTGACAACTGGAAGTTGGGGGGTGTGTGTCATTTGTGCTGCACAGTGGGGGCAGCTGGGTCTCCCCCCACCCAGCCCCCTGCATTTTGGGGTGCTGCCGCACGTTTGAGAGCGCTGCTAGGGAGCGATGTTTGCGGGCCTTGCGCTCCCATCCCCTTTTGGAGCCGAGAGGGGGAGAAAGGAAGAGGAATCACATCGGTGCCTGCAGGGAGGGCATCCGGTGCTTGTCGCCTTCCTGCAGAAGCTCGGAGCCCCCGTGCTCCCTCCCGTGCCCGTCCGTATTTATTGACCCGGCCTCCTGGCGTTTCTCTGTTCGGCTCCCGCTGGATTTGCTGTTGCCAGTTCCCGGAGATGGTGAGAAGAGCCAGGACATATGAATGTCACTATGGAGAAAAGACCAAACCAGGTATTCTGCTGCCGCGTGGGGAAAATCGGAAGGAGAGGAAAGCTGGTTTTGCAGAGTGCCTTAAACACAAATGACTTTACCGAGTCTTGGACTGGTAAATGACTTTACTTGGCTTGGACTTCTGTCTCTGGATGTTATTACCAACTCGAACAAATGTTGCGTTTCACTTCTCTGGGATTAAAAGAAAACCACTCGAGCTGTACTGGAACCAAACCCTGTGTTTGCTTGAGTCCATCTGGCTGGTTTGTACCTCTGAGGCTACAGCAGCACCAGGGAGCAGGCAGGAATTCCTTTTGGTCATCAGCTTGCCTAATAAGTGGGATCAGTGGCTGCTTCCTGCTGGGGTTAAGCCCTTGGGCCGTGTGACAGGATTTGTTTCCCCTTGTCCCTGCTTGCAGGAGGCTTCTCTGGTGTCCTAGAGAAGTTGTGCTGGCCCTGCAGTGCCCCTTCTCTAGGGTTGCTCAGGGCAGGCTGTTTGCACAAAGCATGCCATGGGGCTGTGTCCTCAAGCTTCCAGAAAACGAGGCAGTTGGTTGGAAAGCTTGGAGGGGGCAGACGTTCCTTTTTTGCCTTAGAAAACCAGATCAAGGCGAGGGCTGTGTGCTGAGGGAACAGCAAGAAACCCAGGAATTTGCACAGCCCAGCCGTGGGGAACTAGGGAAGCTGCCAAGTTTGATAAAGCTGAAAAACTGCACAGAAAAGAGATGTTTCCCCTCTGAAATTGCAGATTCCCCCTCCCACTTCATGCAGAGTGGAAGAGCGAGAACAAAAGTCAGCCCAGAGACTAGCTGTTTCTGTCTCCTAGAAAAAATAATATACAGGAATAATAAAGTTTCATATTGAAGGTTCATTTAAAGGCCATTTGGGGAAATACACCAATATTCACTTCATAGTTCCTGAAGGCAATTAAAAATTAATATAACCCTTTTTTTTTTTGGGGTAATGAAAGAGGGGTGTGGATGCTGCTGCAGGATTGGGATCCACAGGATGCTGGATCCATCTCATTGCATCCAGTGCGTTGCTTACCATGAGCATCAACCCTGCTATTCCCCACATGCTGGGGGGATACGTTAGTGCCCCAAGCCAGTTGATTTCCTTAGAGCTGCTCATTTTAAGTGCTGCTGGTTGTGCTGGGCACTGAGGGATGCTGGCAGCCAGCCTATGAGCTATTTGGTGAGCAGGTTTCTTTCCTAGTGTTATATTAAAACATTGCTCATCTCCTGACAAATCCCTGAGGTGTAGGTGAGGGAGAGCAGGCAGGAGTTTGCATGGTTTGTGCCATGCTCTGGGAAGAAGAGTAGGACCCCCCAGTACTAACAGAAGGCCAGGCTGAGGCATGTTCCCTGAGCAGGTGTCTCCTTCCCACTGCTGAGACTCTGCCATGAAGAGGGAGAGCACACTGCCTGTGTGCCCTGGGACAACCTCTTTTCAAAATGCCTTCCTTACAGAGCAAGAACAAGGGAAGTCTGTGCTTCTGCCACCCACCCAGGAGCATGGGCACCCATCCCAGCTGCACGGCCACAGGAAACAAAGTAAATTGTGCAGGATGCCGTGGGGCCCAGCAGAGACAGACAAGGGACACTGCAGGTAGTACTGAAGGTCAGTTTATTTGCTTGATTCCCTCTTCCATAAAACCCGAAAACAATCATCCTCCAGCAAGAGATGAGAAAGCAGTAAGAAGTGAGAGATTTGGCTCTGCAGCTCCTCCCTTACTCATGGGACCAAAGGTGTTAACGTGTTAGTGACAGCTGCCTTGAAAGGCACGCAGCAGTTTGGAGGCCCCAGAGCTCTGGAGCCTGGCTGCTGACACCACACTTCTCACCATGGAAAAAGCCTGGCTGGTAATCAAACAGCACGAGCCCTGGACCCCTCACTGGTCTGCTCACCTTCCTTGTGGGGCTGATTCAAGGCAAGAAAACACCCAGAGGTTTAGTTTTGAGGGGAAGCGGGGGATGAAAGGGACAGGGAGGATTTCATACTGTGGTGCACCATCAGTGTGATGGTACAGAGTGCTTGATCGTGTGGTGTCAGAGGGGCAGGAGCTGGGCACGGGGAAGGCTCCAGGGGCGTGCAGCCTGGCAGGGTGGACAGACAGACCTCACTCTGGTTGCGGGGTGTAACGCAGGTACTTCTTGCCTGACGGGAGGTCCTTCGTGAAGACTCCTTTGGGAAAGAGCTTCTTGGCTTCCTCATCAGGTAAGGTGGGCACGACCATGACACTGTCACCGGGCTGGGGAGCAAATGGGAACTGTGAGAGCAGCAGAGGAGCTGGCAGGCTTGGGTGCAGGTGGCACTGCCTCCCTGGGAGCACTCCAGCACCCCAGGCACTTCCCATGCAGCTCCGCCTGGAGCCGGCAGTGAGGGCTGAGTGGGAGCTACACCAGGAGACAAGGGTGATGCCCAAAGGGAGAGCTGTGCCATCTGCCAGCCCTGCCAACAGGATCCCACAGCCCAGCTCTTCCCCAAAGCACTCTCATGGGAACAGGGAGTAACAAGAGGGGAGTTTGGGCATCTCTGTGATGTAGGCAGGAGCACAGTTTGCCTAAGTCTGCTCATCCATTCCTATTGCTTAGGCTGGCTCCCCCTTGGTGTTCTAAGCCCTCTGTAAAGGTGTGCTTCCCTGGGAGGTGGGCTGGTGGGTGAGCTGGCACAAACCACTGGGAGCTTAGGCTGCAAGAGATGGGAGTTTTCAGAGGCAAGGCTGCTTCCACCTGCTGCTTTCCCCACCCCATGGGTCTCCCACATTTCCTGGCTGTGAGCTTTGCTCCCCTCCTCACCTTCCAGTCCACAGGGGTAGCAACCTTCTTATAGGCTGTCAGCTGCAGGGAGTCCACCACTCTCAGGATCTCATCAAAGTTTCTCCCAGTGGTGGCTGGGTACAGGATAGAGAGTTTCAGCTTCTTATCCGGACCAAAAATGAACACCTGAGCACAGGGAGACAAAGTCAGGGGCTGGGCAGATGTTTGTCCAACTGCTCTGCTGGATCTGCTCAGCCCTGCTGTGCCTTCCTTTCCTGGGAGGTGGCCTGCCTGATCACAAGTGTTGGGACAAGGGAGATGCCATGGTGGGGATCTCCTAGAGAACAAGTGATGCCCAGGGAACACACTTTTGCTCTGGGAAGTCCTGTTTCCAATGCCAGCTTGTTTTGCTACCTGAAACGTTTCCTCCCCTTGACCTGTGCCCTTCTAATGCAAGCACAGGAGGGGAGAGGGAAAGTCCAGCAGATCAAGCACTGACAAAATTTAGGTCAGGACAGACACAACCAGGATGAGTGGGTGGAGCTGTTGCCAGCAGACCAGTGCTGCACCTTCTCTTCCTCATCGTTCCAGACCAACGAAGTCAACCCAGCTCCTGAAGATAGCCATGTCCACCCAGGTAAGCTGCCCCCATCTTCAAGCACAGCCCCACAGACACAGGGCAGGACGGCAGGCAGAGAAGGCAGAGGCGCTGCGGGGCCGGGCACTCACCACACGGGCAGTCAGGGGCATGCCATCCTTGTCCCGCTCATCCGGGTCCAGCATGCCCAGCTGGACAGCCAGCTCCCGGTCCTTGTCAGCGATGATGGGGAAGGGCAGTTTCTCCGCGGGTTGTTCCCCGTTGTAGGCGTTGATGTCCTGCAGAGACAAAACCATCGGCACACTCACACTCCTGGCTGCGGGCACCAGACAGAAACATGTTCAGCAGCTGCTCTGCAGGAGCCCGTGGTTTGACTGGCCCCAAAGTCTCAGGCTGGGACAGCACAGCCAGGGACTTGTGGCCTTCCATGAAGTTTCTCCGTTTCCAGAAACCAGGTGACAAACCAGAAACTCTCGTGTCAGGCTGGACAGTGCCTTGCTCTTAGAGGTTAGTTCTTAGGCTGTCTGTGCTCACACCCTGTTGGCTCAGCTGCCCTTGGACCAGCTGCTTTTCCCAGGTTGTGGGTATGGAGCAATAGGAGCAAATATGGAGCAAAATGCCAGTGTAAGTGACTCAGGGAGATTTAACCACCTTTCCCTGAGGTGTCCCTCTTCCAACTCTCTCCCAGTACATGATCTAGCACTACTGACAGACGTGTTGGTGCCACACCTGAACTGAACTGTGCATTTAAGGAACAGTTTCTTCAGCAGCAGAGCAAACCAGCAACTCTACAGCTAACAAAGGTCAAGTGTCCAACACTTTGTACGTCTTGTGCAAGGGACCAGCTCCATTCTTACTCCCAACTTACTTAACTAAAGGCTCTTGAAAGCAAGAGTGGATGTCTGAGTGCAGGTGCTTGGACACTGCACGCTCCTTTCTGAACCACATCTGGGACAGAAGAGAAAACCATTCCCTTCAACAGCCCTGCAGGCTCTTCCATGTGACCGTGGTTTAGGAGGTTACTCCCTGTGCTAGCCTAAACTTGACCTGCTTCACAGGGAAACTGTATTTTGAGCATCTCCAAATCTGGTCTGGACTTGGCCAAAGCATTCAAGTTATCACTGGAGCTTGCAGTAGCACCTTCACAGGTCATACTGAGCCTCCGCAGTGCTGGGAGGAGCCTGCTTGAGGCAGCACAAGCAGAGCAGCTGCCAGCATCAAAGCAAGTTTAATTCAAGGTTTCTGCCCCAGAACAGAGCAGCCTGTTCCTTCCATCCTCTTCACGCTACATGGGGACAGAACTAACTGCAACACCCACACGAGAGGCTGTAACCCTCACCTGGCTGCTCAGGATGCTGCAAGCACGTCAAGTGGTGCACACGTGGCAAGATGTGACCTTTCCAACTTTTCTCTTTGCTCATTTCCCCCCCGTGCCTTTCTGAGTCAGCACTGCACTGCGAAAAGGGGCCGTTTATCTCAGCTGGGCTGTGGTCAGGCCTGCCTTGGAAGGAAGGAAGGAATCTGTTCTGTTCTCCTGCAGACCTGCCTTGTGAGAGCAGAGCGGGAAAGGAAAGCAAGGCTGGAGAGTTCAGGTGAGGCAAAATGCTGCTGAATACCCCACAGAGTCACAGGAGGCTGAGGATGGAGGGTGGTAAATGACATGCACCCACTCCCTCCCTCTTCAGAGCAGGGGCTGGAGGATGAAAAGAGCTTCTGAGAAGTAATATCTGAATCCTGTGGACTGTAACTCCTTCCAAAATGCACGTAATTTCATGACCTGGGGAGCTCTACAAAACAGCCTCACAAGCCACACCTTGTTTTGCAATGGGACACCCACAACTCGCTTCCCTACGAATTATTTTATTTTCCAGAGTCCA